CTTTATTATTGTTTAGGTTTAGGTCATGATAATTAAAATCAAACTAAATCAATCTCTTTGGAACGATATTTGGACTTAAATTCACTTTATTACTTATTAACGAACCATAAACTTGCAGTATTTTTGATCGAACAATATTTCTTATAACAAGGTTTCGATGCCGCCGTCGAGGATTGAGTTTCAGTTTGATTTTATTTACCATGACACTAATTTGAACTTTTGCCTCTAGTCTTGTCTTTTTATTTTCGTTCCATTTTAGTTTTTTTTTTTTCTTTTTTCTCTCTTTTTTAGGATATAAAAATGAACAAAAATATTAGGATAAAAGATGTCTGTGGTTTATTTCAACAAGATGCTCGTATGTGACTTAATCATAAGGCAAGACCAATTGGCAGCTCAAAAAATTGATGAAGGAGATATGCTTGGTGATAATTAAAATCAAACTAAATCAATCTCTTTGGAACGATATTTGGACTTAAATTCACTTTATTACTTATTAACGAACCATAAACTTGCAGTATTTTTGATCGAACAATATTTCTTATAACAAGGTTTCGATGCCACCGTCGAGGATTGAGTTTCAGTTTGATTTTATTTACCATGACACTAATTTGAACTTTTGCCTCTAGTCTTGTCTTTTTATTTTCGTTCCATTTTAGTTTTTTTCTTTTCTTTTTTCTCTCTTTTTTAGGATATAAAAATGAACAAAAATATTAGGATAAAAGATGTCTGTGGTTGATTTCAACAAGATGCTCGTATGTGACTTAATCATAAGGCAAGACCAATTGGCAGCTCAAAAAATTGATGAAGGAGATATGCTTGTTGAAGATTTCATTATAGGACAGGGACTACGAGATATAAAAGTAGAATGTAAACTTAATGAAAATGTCCTAGGTGACTTACTTGTTGCATTATTTCTCTCACCACAATTTGATGTGGGAGAGTTGTCTATGTAATTATTTCTTCCACCGGTTGTTAATGGATATCAATTAAGGGAAACACATCAATCGGACTTTTTACAAGTGAAACAAGAGTATAAGAATCTCCATGAAGATATCATTGTTTTTTTTGCCAAAAGTTTTGAATATGGACGTTGAACTTGAGAAAAATCTAATTAAAAAAGAGGAATATGAAAAGATCGAGAAATTAATCATAACGAGTGAAAAAGAATTTGTAGCATTTGAAGAAGAAGAAATTAGCATACAACTCCTTAACTTCATCATTTGTTCAAAAATTGAGTTTGTGAGTAAACCTTATGAGGAAATTGAGGTGTACATTATTTAGTTCGAAAAGGATGATGAGAGAAAATCATACTATTTGGAGAAGGACAATGTTAAAATTTGGAGGAAAGTTGCAATATGGAACAAAGTCAAATTAAGCAAGTTATTCAGGACTTCCAAATCCATATATAAAATTGCCATGAATCACTAGTGAAAAAGGCGATCTCTAGGCTTCTAATTAAGAGCATAATGGGAGGCAACCATTTTTATATCACTTACCTCTTATTCTGATTAACTATTGCAGAACAAGTAGATTTTTAGGGATTGCATTAGTATTTTATAGCCATATTTATGAACCCATGCACGATTTTTAATACATTTTAGGTAGTTTTTAAGGCTTGCATTAGTAACTTAGACATGTTTACCTATTGAGTTCATTTTATTAGGCTCATCGTTAACATCTTAGCATTAAATTAAGTTTTCATTGATGTGATATGCATTCTTAAAGTTGGAATTAGATTTCAATCTCCAAACAAATTTGAAAAAGTTATCTTTTCCTAGTTATATGATTTTTCACAACAAGAAAAAAAAGGCTTTTTTCAACATGTAAAAGGCAACATTCATTAATTTTATGTTGCTATAAGGGGTCTATTGCAACATTCGACAAGTATATGTTGTTATTGGTTGAGTATATTGAGTTTTAACAGCGTTTTTTTAATGAATGTTGCTAATACAAACCTTTGGCAACATTCGCAGTCCGTTATTAAATATTTTTGCAATGTGTGTAACATGCATTGTTATTAATTGGTTTTAGCAATAGGCAATGCGCATTGCCATTAGAGGTTTTAGTAAAGTAGAACGTTGTCATTAATTGGTTTTAGCAACAGGTAATGCTTGTTGTCATTAGAGGTTTTAGCAACGTTCAATGTTGTTGTTAATTTTTTGGCATGTTGCCATTAAATATGTTAACAACGCACATTTGAATGTTGCCATTAATTTTTTGCAATATTCATTGCACGTTGTCGTACACACATTAGGCAACATTTGCAATGTTCTTTGAATGTTGCTAAATCTCTTAATTGCAAAAAATAAAATTTTTCGCAACGTTCATTGAAAGCTGCGAAAATGTTTTTTTTTTTTCACAATTCTAAGGAAATAATCACATCAACCAAGGTAACTGGAATCTTTATACTTCAAATCGAACCATTAGTTGGAAACTTATAAGCTATTGTTCAATCTTTTGATGATAAGACTTTAATTTGGCATGATGTCTTGCTAAAGATAACATTAAAAATTTAGAGTTTTATGACGACTATGTCATTGGACAATAAAATAAGCGGCATTTTAAAACTGGAAACACTAAATCCACTTCAATACTTTATTATTTACATGCTAGCCTCTGGGGTCCAGCATTAGTAAGTATTCTGAGTGGATTAAAGTTTTATCTACTTATTGTAGATGAATTTTTAAGAAAAATTTGAACATTTCTTTTAAAAATTAAATCGAACACTTTCAAAACTTTAAACAATAGAAATTAATTATTTCGTATTCTAAGGCATAGAACAACAACATACACTCCTAAGCAAAATGAAGTTGCTGAGAGAATGAATAAAACTTTGATTGAAAAAGTTAGGTGTCTGCTGCTGAGTTATAGTCTTCCCAAACGGTTTTGGGGTAAAGCTTTGAAAATTGCCATTTATGTGATTAATAGGATCCTTTCTAGTGCTATTGATTTTTAAATTCTGAACTTTACGGTCCGAAAAATTAACAGATTCTCCAAACTCAAGATTTTTGGATGTGTTACCTATTTTCATTAAAATGAATGCAAACTTGAACCTAGATCTTTAGCACGTGTTTTTCTGGGTTATGCTGAAAAATCTAAGAGATATTAGCTTTCGGTAAAAGGGCAAAATTGGTTCAAAGTGATCATAAGTAGAAATATAATTTTTAATGAAGATGTTTTTCCTTGTAATCATTCTTTCAATCAGAAACAATCTGAATCTATTCCTCTTAAAGAAACTGTTATGAAAAACAATGAAGATACTTCTGTTGAACCTAATGATTTGACTAAGGTGGAGACTACTCAATCTAAAATAGATCAAGCTCAAGGTGAATTTGAATTCGAAAATGAAACTCAAAATTATTCTCTTGTTGATTATCAGTTAACCACAGACAGAGGTAGAAGAAATAGGTTTCCTTCTACTAAAATCAATACTGATGAATCTGTTACCCTTTATTCTGAATTGGAATATGTCAATTCTGAACCTTCAACTTTTGAAGAAACTATTAATTGCAAAGAATCCAAACTTTGGATGGAAGCCATGAAAGAAGAAATGGATCCCCTAACTAAAACTAAGACATAGATTTTGGTTAATAAGCTTAAGAATAAAAAAGTTGTTGACTATAAATGGGTCTGCAAAGTGAAAGAGGGCAAGTCTAATGCTGAAAGTAAGAGATATAAGACCAGACTTGTAGCCAAAGAGTTTACACAAAGATAGGATACAGATTATAATGAAATCATTTCATCTGTTGCTAAATATAACTCAATCAAAATTCTGCTTGCTCTTATTACTTGTTTAACTGAGAATTGGACCAGCCTGATGTTAAAAATGTATTCTTAAGTGGTGAACTCCATGAACAATTTATATGAATCAATAAAATGGTTTTGCACTAAATTTTAAGTTTGAAAAAGTTTGTCTTCTAAAGAAGTCACTTTACGATTTGAAATAAGCACCTGGACAATGGTAAAAGAAATTCCACTCATACGTTCAAAACTTGGGTTTCTCTAAGTTTTGGTTCTTGCTTCTATTTCAAAGGGTCAGGTGAACATTATTCTATTTACTTAATCGTATATGTTGATGATATGCTCTTTGCTTGCCATGACAGATTTGAAATTGACTTTGATAAATCAAAACTAAAAATTGAATTTGAGATGAAAAATATAGGATAAGCTAAAAGAATTTTAGGAATGGAAATCAAAAGATATAGAAGTAATTATATGCTTTATGTGAATCAATCTCCTTATGTGAAAAAGGTTATTTGGATAAAAAAATGATCCAATTCTTCTTGTGTTTTACTCTTTGTAATGGCTGTATTAGTTGAAAGTCTGTAGAAACTTGTAGCTCTATCTTCTAACGAAGTTGAGTATATTACAACATTTGATGCTGTGAAAGAAGGACTTTGGTTGAGTGGTTTGTTAGTTGAAATTGATTTTATAAATGAAGTAGTTAGAATTTTTACAGATGATCAAAGTGATGTACATTTAAGTAAAATCATATATATCATGAAAGAACTAAACATTTAAATATTAAGTTTCATTCTGTAAGGCCCATGATTGAAAAGGGGATGATTAATCTGGTAAAAATTACAATTGAATACGATCCTTCTGATTTTGGTACTAAAGTTCAGTTGTTAAACAATTTCAAATTTTTTTTTGAAAATTCTGAACATTACATGAAGATTATTAAAGCAAGTGAAACGTGATAGTAGTGTTTTGATTTCAGCTATATGATCTACGAATAGTTCGGCAAGGTGAAGATTGTTGGATTTGGGCTTGATGTCTCACTATTCATTTGGTCTTAATTATTCATTTGGTCTTAATTATGTGTTGGATCGTCCTTTAATTGGGTAATTAACTTATGGTTTTCAGGGTTTTGGTGCACTTATATAAAATCGTGTTTTTGTAAACATGACTTTGGGAATTGGAATGCTTTAATCTGGACCCTTCATTCGATGTAATTGAGACAATTTGATCAATGGTTTTTGACCTAAGTATAAAGAGGCCTCTTTCTCTCTCATGTTTCGTCACTTTGTGTATATATTGAGGGTTGATCTTAGGGTTTTCTCGTCTGATTCTCTCTGCAATCTTTGAGGTATTTTTTTTTTTTTTTTGTAAATCGTGAGGTTTTGATTATGATTGTTTTAAGTACACAATCTATTGGATAAATTGTATGGATTACTAGAGGTTTTTGTTGAAAAAGAGATGTGAGAGGAAACTTGAAGAAATCCCAGATTTCTTCAGACATTTTTTACTAATTTTTGGTGATTTTGATAGAGAAGTCGAACGTAATCTACTTGTAGATGCTAAACAGGTAATTAGGTCGAAGGCTGAATATCCGAGCCCTTAGTGGCAAAAAATTCCATTGTGTTCTCTGATTTTCTGCAAAATTTATATTTACTACAAATTGTTGTGGTAATCCTGAATAAACAAGATTCTCAACCAACAGACAGGCTGATTTTTTTATTTTTTTGCAAATTTTGGGTTGTTCTCCTTTGCAAATTGAGTTGCTTACAGATAAAAAATTTTAAGGCAAAAATACTTCAAGCCCTAGGAAGAAAACATAAGACCTAGAGTTGAAAAATAATTCACACGTCTTTGATACTTAGGAACATGCATATTTGTTCGCTCGGTAAAAACTGTCTAGCTCTGAAAATTTTAATGTTTAACAATATTTAACTTTCCCGTAGAAAACTGTTTTACTTTGGTTGCGATTTTATGATTTGTTACCGGGTAGCAAATTATGCTTTAGTTGGGTTATTATTTGGCGATGGCTACATTGTCGATAGCAAAATGTTTTGTTGAATGTTTTTGTTAGTTATCATATTCTATTATTATTTCTCTATTTCTCAACTAGTATTATTATTTTGTTATGTTAATAACTGCTTGATAATCGATTTGGTGAAACTTGTGTAGTTTCAAGTTTATTGCTTGAACGTAACTTCCTCCCAAGTAAAATTTGTTTTCTTGTTGAAATTATAACTAATTAACACATGTCCCAAATTTGACCTTCTCTGTATTGTCCCTTGATAAAATCATGATAATATAGGAATGGTCGTAAAATTAAGAAATAACAACTTTTTTGGTTGGGTTATTATTTGACGATGGCTACATTGTCGATAGCAAAATGTTTTGTTGAATGTTTTTGTTAGTTATCATATTCTATTATTATTTCTCTATTTCTCAACTAGTATTATTATTTTGTTATGTTAATAACTGCTTGATAATCGATTTGGTGAAACTTGTGTAGTTTCAAGTTTATTGCTTGAACGTAACTTCCTCCCAAGTAAAATTTGTTTTCTTGTTGAAATTATAACTAATTAACACATGTCCCAAATTTGACCTTCTCTGTATTGTCCCTTGATAAAATCATGATAATATAGGAATGGTCGTAAAATTAAGAAATAACAACTTTTTGGTGATTTTGTTGATTTCCTGATGTAAAGATGTGGTAAAAAAAAAAAAAAAAAAAAACAAAACTCATAATGCTGACTGGGTAAATTTTGACTTGGCTAACTTGTTGATTATTAAAAGGCCAGTTTATTAAGTTGTGCAAAAATGTGTTTTGATGAAATACATTTTTCCCTTTTGGAATGAATAGACGTGATCTTGTCAAGTGTCAACCCCACCAGCCATTGGATTGGCTGACATTCTGGTGATTTCCATTTATGCATAATTCCTAGGGTTGAATGATTGAATCATTCATCTAATTTTTCTCTCTCAGGCTCTTGAGTTCTTCGTCTCTTTCTCTTTCTAAAATCTAATAGTTTTTCTATAATACTTTCTCAATGTAATGCATTTCTTGAGTGATCTGTATATTGAGAAGTGTTGTGATGTTATTGAGTGAAAGTTTGTTGTGGTTGAAAGGCTGATTTTCTGTGATCTTGAGTGATTATTATCTAAGTGCCTAGATCTGGTTTTCTTGGACACTTTGGTTCTGCTTTCATATAGTGGTTTCTTTTGGTGGGACAAGCTCGAAGGGTTTAAGTAAAAGTTTGTTGAAGTTTATTTTTATAGTTCATGTTCTTCTTTCGGTCTTTTGTTTAATGTTATTGAATAAATTGTCTAATCATTTGAACCTAATTGTAATACTTGATTTTTTGGTCATATTGATTGTGTCTTGAAGCCTCCATTTTTGAAGTTGATTTGCAAAATCTAGTTGAGTTGATAGTTTGTGTACCTGTGTTAAGTTTTTTTAAGTCCCAAAAAACAGCTACACACAGTTTTGATTTTGGAGGTTTTCAATGGGAATGCTTATTTTTCGATTTGACACCAAAAGATGAAGGGGATATTAGTAGAACATTTCTAAAGTTATAGATAGTTCTTTTGCTTTAAATGCAACCTATGATTAAAAGAAAGAATCAAATGAATTTGCTATAATTCTATTAGTTTACATATTTCTGACTTTATTTTGAGAAAAGTTAGCACACTTGCTTCCACAAAAGAACTTTGGAAAAATTAGAGGATCTTTATTTGTTAAAAATTGACTTCAAATAAACTTTCTTACTTGAAAGATTTTTAGCTTTAGAACTGATCTTCCAAAGGATTTGGATGGTAATTTGGATAACTTTAATAAACTGATGCAAGATATCACTTACTATGGTAAGAAAGTATCACAAGAGTATAAGACTATTATTTTGTTAAATGCTATAACTGATACCAAGAGAGGATAAAATGTCATTGTGGTAGAGATATTTTAACATTTGAAATTGTCATTGATCCATTTAGAATTGTAAAAATGGAGTTAAAAGATGAAAGATTAGATAAACAAGGTGGAGAAGTTTACACGGTGTAAGGTATGTCTCAATATAGATTTGTGGGGAATTCATGATAGTAAAAACAACAGTGAATTAAATTTGACTGTATTGATGACTCTTATTGAGTTAAATTTGACTGCAAAATCTTAGTTGCATGAATTGATACTTGATTTTGGTGTACGTTTCATGATTTATATGAATTTATTTTTTCTACAATTATTGTGCACGCTAAATGTATGAATGTAATAGCTTATTTTATGCATTCGAAGAAAAAGAAAAATAGGTTCGATATGGTATAAATCGTCATAAGGTTCGATAGGAGATAAAGATATATTGCTAAATATTATGTAAAACTTTAAGTATTCATAAAAATTCATGCATTCTTGTATGTTCGCATCTATCATAAAAATATAGTCAGGTCGTCTATGATAATATGTTCAAATTACTCGAGAGAGATTGTTGATTAATAAAATAGGAACATTAATTCGTCAAAGTTTAACTGTTTTGTCATACATTAGACCACATTAACTTACATTCAACACAATTTGCATTTAACTTAGTTAATTTACTCATAATTGCATAAGTAGATATTTTGGTTATGATCATCATAGACAAACAAATCACTTTATTATTGTTTAGGTTTAGGTCGTGATAATTAAAATCAAACTAAATCAATCTCTTTGGAACGATATTTGGACTTAAATTCACTTTATTACTTATTAACGAACCATAAACTTGCAGTATTTTTGATCGAACAATATTTCTTATAACAAGGTTTCGATGCCACCGTCGAGGATTGAGTTTCAGTTTGATTTTATTTACCATGACACTAATTTGAACTTTTGCCTCTAGTCTTGTCTTTTTATTTTCGTTCCATTTTAGTTTTTTTTTTTTCTTTTTTCTCTCTTTTTTAGGATATAAAAATGAACAAAAATATTAGGATAAAAGATGTCTGTGGTTGATTTCAACAAGATGCTCGTATGTGACTTAATCATAAGGCAAGACCAATTGGCAGCTCAAAAAATTGATGAAGGAGATATGCTTGTTGAAGATTTCATTATAGGACAGGGACTACGAGATATAAAAGTAGAATGTAAACTTAATGAAAATGTCCTAGGTGACTTACTTGTTGCATTATTTCTCTCACCACAATTTGATGTGGGAGAGTTGTCTATGTAATTATTTCTTCCACCGGTTGTTAATGGATATCAATTAAGGGAAACACATCAATCGGACTTTTTACAAGTGAAACAAGAGTATAAGAATCTCCATGAAGATATCATTGTTTTTTTTGCCAAAAGTTTTGAATATGGACGTTGAACTTGAGAAAAATTTAATTAAAAAGAGGAATATGAAAAGATCGAGAAATTAATCATAACGAGTGAAAAAGAATTTGTAGCATTTGAAGAAGAAGAAATTAGCATACAACTCCTTAACTTCATCATTTGTTCAAAAATTGAGTTTGTGAGTAAACCTTATGAGGAAATTGAGGTGTACATTATTTAGTTCGAAAAGGATGATGAGAGAAAATCATACTATTTGGAGAAGGACAATGTTAAAATTTGGAGGAAAGTTGCAATATGGAACAAAGTCAAATTAAGCAAGTTATTCAGGACTTCCAAATCCATATATAAAATTGCCATGAATCACTAGTGAAAAAGGCGATCTCTAGGCTTCTAATTAAGAGCATAATGGGAGGCAACCATTTTTATATCACTTACCTCTTATTCAGAAAAAATATTGTAGAACAAGTAGATTTTTAGGGATTGCATTAGTATTTTATAGCCATATTTATGAACCCATGCACGATTTTTAATACATTTTAGGTAGTTTTTAAGGCTTGCATTAGTAACTTAGACATGTTTACCTATTGAGTTCATTTTATTAGGCTCATCGTTAACATCTTAGCATTAAATTAAGTTTTCATTGATGTGATATGCATTCTTATAGTTGGAATTAGATTTCAATCTCCAAACAAATTTGAAAAACTTATCTTTTCCTAGTTATATGATTTTTCACAACAAGAAAAAAAAGGCTTTTTTCAACATGTAAAAGGCAACATTCATTAATTTTATGTTGCTATAAGGGGTCTATTGCAACATTCGACAAGTATATGTTGTTATTGGTTGAGTATATTGAGTTTTAACAGCGTTTTTTTAATGAATGTTGCTAATACAAACCTTTGGCAACATTCGCAGTCCGTTATTAAATATTTTTGCAATGTGTGTAACATGCATTGTTATTAATTGGTTTTAGCAATAGGCAATGCGCATTGCCATTAGAGGTTTTAGTAAAGTAGAACGTTGTCATTAATTGGTTTTAGCAACAGGTAATGCTTGTTGTCATTAGAGGTTTTAGCAACATTCAATGTTGTTAATTTTTCTGCATGTTGCCATTAAATATGTTAACAACGCACATTTGAATGTTGCCATTAATTTTTTGCAATATTCATTGCACGTTGTCGTACACACATTAGGCAACATTTGCAATGTTCTTTGAATGTTGCTAAATCTCTTAATTGCAAAAAATAAAATTTTTCGCAACGTTCATTGAAAGCTGCGAAAATGTTTTTTTTTTTTGTTTTATTTCTTTTCCAAATTAAGTTATATATGGACTTAAATTTCAGCTTCCAATAGGGTTTTTCTCATTGAATCCAGTAAGATTCATCTTTCTTGAGTCAACATTATCGTTTGTGCCTATTATATTCGCTGTAGTTTATCTATGTTTCACGACTATTCGTTGCTCGAAATTTATTTCAATATGCGTTGTAGGTTTTTTAATTTGTTCATGGTGCCCTTAGGACTTGATAAATCCGAAATATGATGCTTGTAACCTGTTCTTATACCCCCTTTTGTGTTGTATGTATCATGTGAGCTTGAGTGAATAATTTTTTTTGGGCATCATTTGGCTTTAAAAAATTGAAATTTTGGTTAACTTGGTGCTTCTAGAAACACTGAAAATGTATTCAATTTGTATCGATCAAATTGTCGGCCACATTATGTTTCCTAATTAAAATCCGTGCAGTCAATATAAATAATGTATCTTCTCCATATGATCCGTGTTGATTCGTTTACACGAAATCGGAAAAAAATTTATTTTTTGAATTGGTACATCACTGGTCCACATGAGATGATTTAGTATTGTATTTTCTTGTATGCAGGAAATGGAATGCGTAATATGTAAACTTCTCTTCCAATTGGTTACAAATACCTGGATATCGACATTAGTATTGATGTTGTCCAAAAGAAAACTCTTCACTCTTCTACATGGAGCCGGAAAGGAAAGAGCCAAGCTTAGTGACATATGCACTATGTGTTGTTGTGGACCGTATTTGGATCGCAATTGCTTCTGAATCTGATAGATATATGGCAATTCCACACTCATCAGTGTGTATTGAGGTTGAGGCTGCATCACCCAATCAAGTTCTGGGACTGAAAATGTCAACAATTCCTTCAATTCAGGAATTTGAATCCAGCATAGAAATAACTAAGTCCATGTTTGGGAAACGGTCTAGAATAATGCACTGCTTTATAAATTTGTTGTCTGTCTCTAGCGATTTACTTGGCTTATGATGTCTGAAATCTCTACAAGGCTCAAGTCGTGAAACATATGTCAAGATTTTGCTCACATTTGCAGGCGAAGAGAGGTGGGAATGTGCTATTAAAGAGGACAAGAACTAGGTAGATCCATTTTGCTGGAAGCCACATCTGTAGACATAGGCGTAAGTTGAAGGTTTTAGTTGATATGGATGACAGCGAGTTTGTATTGCATTAGAGTCTAACAGGCAAAGAAACACAAATATCATTATAATTTCCTTATTTTGAATTAGTGTAATTCCAAGTGCCGTAATTCAAGTTTATCTTCTGGTATTTGTACTTATAGGCTAACTTGTTTTCTTTTATATAAGTAATTTAATTTTTTTAAGAGTATAAGAGAAGGATTTGTGATGACAAATTTATTGCTTATTGCATAAATAAATTTAACACCTAATGTGAAATGATTTTTATATATGTAAAGTAATATATTAAAAAATAATATGCATGTAGTCATTTTTTTTTTAAATAGATAGAAAAAGGCAACATGCAATGAATGTTGCTAAAATATCAACGACAACGAGCAATGAATGTTGCTAAAAAGTTAATGGCAATGCATACAGAACGTTGCTCAAAATGAACGACAACATGTAATGAATGTTGCTGAAAAGTTAATGGCAAGGCATAATGAATGTTGTAGTATCAAAAGACCCAACGACAACATCGTATCCCACAATATATGCTTGAAAGTTGCAAAAGGATTTTGGCAACATTTTATGACCATTGCAAAATGCAATTTTTGGTGTAGTGTTTGCAGGGTTGTACACTCTGTTAGATAGTTTTTTTAGAAGTTAGAAGATTAGAATTCTTCTTGGTGTAAATTTATTTCAAATATTTAAACCTTATATGTTATCACTAATATTTATTTTAAATTCTTGGAATCAAAAACTAAAATCTAGCAGCAAGGAAAAGTTGCGGTTGTCATGAAGTCTACCAACTGAACTAGCCTAATCTTTCAACTGATCCACATCTATCTCTTGGAGTTTTTATCCTTACTCTTTTACTTTGTTTATTATTTTTTTTACATTGGGGACAATGTAATATTTGTGTTTTGGAGGTAGTTAAGTATTAGGATACTTAGGATATATATTTTTCAACTGCTGATCAGGTATGTATAACTGTTTAAAAGCTAGGAAAAAATTTTGAAAAATTTAAAAATAGTGTCTAGTTTAGTGTTGAATGACTTGCCGCTTATGATGATATTTGTTTGAATTGAGTATAGCTTTAGCTAGATTGCCGAACAACACCATTTGAGTATTTATCCATGTTACACTCAATTATTTGAGCACATATTCATATTGACTTATCACTTATGTTGAGGCATGACTTGATTATGTGGATTTAACTGTTGATATTATTGACGATACTTGAGAGTAAATTTCTAAATCCTTAGTGCAGAAACCATACTACTAAAAAGCAGTTTGGGAGTTAGAAGGTTAGTACTTGTTTTCATAGAAATTTAATGGTCTGAAGTTCTCGGATCCCATTGTTGGTTGAAGTAGTTTCAGTTAAGAAGTCTATAACAAAGATTGACCAGTTTTTAAAATTCGAATCTCATATCAATACCTCTTTTCATAGCCTTTATGACTCGAGTGATTAAGCTTATTAGGATTTTTAAAACCTAGTGCTCTATAGTCATTTGATTTGGGAGTCATTAACTCGCTACTGGGTCATTTAGAAAAAACTTAATGGAAAAAAAATTTACATATAACATGTCAAAAGAATAAAAATTAGATTCTCGTATTAAAGGAAAAGTGATACATTTTCTAACTCTTTTCGTAGCCTTTTTGACTCAAGTTATTAAACTTGCAATAGTATCTAAAAACTCTGTGCCATATAGTCATCTGACTTGAGAGTCATCGGCTTAACCCGGTAAAAACTTTGATCTTTGAACTCTAGAGGTTGACAGTATGTTTTTGAAAAAGATTTACCATCTCCTTTCTAGATTTAAAAGTATTTAATTCTGATCACTTTTTATGGACAAATGGAATTTAATGATTGTTAAGCTCTTCCCACTTGTGTTAGAAATACCTCGGGATTGGAGAGAAAAGAATAAGAAGTGACTTTGCACAAGAGCTGTGAGAAAAAACTGACCACAAGAGAATTGTGATTATGAGTGAATCAACAACACTTGATTAGTTGTGTTCTAGTATGGATGTGAGCTCAACATTGGCTAATCACACACACACTAAGTCGAGCATCGAATAAGTAGAAATTTATTTTTGATGTTATTTGGATCTTTCTAAAGTGTTCCTTAAATTCGAACTTGAGGCATATAGTAAACAGTTCAACATTGAGTTTGTTATTGATGATTTTGCTTTGGTTAGTGATATAGTTTTTTCCGAAATTTTATTTTGTTCGAGGACAAACAAAGGTTTTAGTTTGGGAGTTTTTGATATGTGCATTTTTGTGCACTTATTTGGGTCATAGTACTAAACTTTTGTATCATTTTAGTATTGAATTTTATTTAACTTAGATTAGTTTTATCTTGTTTTAGTTTTGGACTCGCTTCTAAGAATTAGAAAAGAAAGAATGATAAATTGGCCAATAGATGGAAGTTTGGAGACAAATATATATTAGAATAAAAGTTGAAGGACCAAAATTGAAGTAATTTAACATGGAAGAGCAAAATGGAAGAAAGAATGAAGAAGAAGCTAAAAGGAATATTTTAGAAGTTTTTATAACTTTATAGCCACCTAGTTATATATGTCAAGCACCTGCCCGACCCTTAACCCCAACTACAGGAGCTATTTTTTATGCCTGGGTAGCCGCCCCATTTTCTACTGGCCCAGGCCAATTCGGTTAAAAAATTCTGTTTTCTTTAGAATTCAATTCCAATAAGGAAACTTTTCGTTTGGCCTATGATATGGAAGATTTTTAGAGATTTTTTGGGGACTCTTTAGAGGGATTATAAATACCAACTCTCAAAGCGTAATTAGGGTATGGAGAATTAATAGAGAATGAGGCAAAAACACATCATGATTCAAGAACATCGTTATTAAATTCAAGACTTTTCGGGTGATGTACAACTTTTATATCTCTTGCTTTCTTCTTCACAACATTTTAGGCCAGATTTCTTTATGTTAGGAGAACAATGAACATTGTAATATTTATTTTTAATATTTTGTTTTACATGTTTGACAACGAAAACACGTTTTTGGATTTTAAATGATTTATATGAATTTCTTTTCTCCACAATTATTATGCATGGTAGTTGTGTGAATGTAGTGATTTATTTTATGTATCTGAAAGATTGGAAATAGGCTTGATATGGTATAAATCGTCATAAAATCCGATAAGGAATAGAGATATATCGCTATGCGTTATGTAAATCTTTAAGTGTTCACAAAAATTCATGCATTCTTGTATATTCGCATCCGTTATAAAAATATAATCAGGTAATGTATGAGAATATATTTGACATTACTCGAGAGAGTTGTTGAATAAAATAGGAACATTGATTCGTCAAAATTCAACCTTGTTATCAAAGTGTAGAACTAAGGTTAAAACGGATTATTACATGGAAATTTGGAATCCTGGTGCATTTGTCATACATTAGAACTCATTAACTTGCATTCAATACAATTTGAATTTAACTTAGTTAATTTACTCATAACTGCATAAGTAGATTATTTTACTTATAATTTCGGTATAAACAAACACATCATTTTATTATTGTTTTAGTTAAGGTCGCGATAATTAAAATCGAACTAAGTCAATCTCTATGGGACGATACTTGGATTCAAATCCACTTTATTACTTGTTAACGAATAGTACACTTGCCGTTCTTTTGATCGAACAATATTTCGTATAACACATCCTATAAAGATTGGTTCAAGAACATGAAAATCTGATTTAGGTCATGTTTGTAATGTACTGTAAAAATATTGCATGCAGATTAATTTACTAGAATATGTGACATTTGTGTGAAATTTAATGCGGCATGCGTGCTTATTTGAGAGGAGTCACTTATATTTTTGAGATGACTAAGAATTTGATTCCATTATGCAAATTGGAAGAGATGAGGCTAACCAGTAGAGTTAAGAATTAAATGATGGAATGATTGAAGATACTTTTTATACTGTGCCTAATGTACTATTTTGTGATAAATGTAATTTTTTATAAAGGGTAATTGGCACAAAACGTCCCTACCTTTTAAGTTTATTGTGGAAAACGTTTATATCTTTCATTTTTTGACATTTTTGCCCCCACCTTCCACATTTCTTTGCACAGAAGGTCATTTTCATTAGTTCTGGACGATTTTACCTTCCATTCAAATAAAACCAAAANAATTAATCACAATTTATAAAACCCATGAATTTCCCAGCATATCCCCTCAAACTTTTGGAATTCCTAAATAATGATTAATGAGGATGTTTCTACTTCCCAAGATGGGTGTGGAATTTAGATCCAAAGACTCAATGGTGGGCAACTTCGGGCCATGAGGAATGCCCCAAGGGATACCTATTCAGTCGGACACCACCGTCGCCGGGACAATCTCAAAAGTGGGAGGACTGGGAGTTGCCCTGCTATGTCGCCAGCTTCCTCGCAATCGTTATCCTTGGAGTCGGTCTCAACGCCAAGTTTGATCTCACCATCAAGACATGGGCCCACCAGAAAGCACTAGAACGACTTGAATTCGATTCTTCATAGTCTCAACACACTGAATGTGATTAGAAAGGTTGATATTACCTGGGGTATGGTTTTAATTTTTTGCTTTTTTCTAGTCTGGTTCTGTGTTGGAATCATCAAATATGTGTAGTTGGTTTTGTTGAGGAAATAAATGATATAAACTTGTTGAATGTGGAGTGAAAACTTATACTATTAATTACTGGAGTTTTTGGGATGTGAACTTTACGCAGTTCAAATCTACATATATTTTATGGAAGAAAAAGGTTATTCCCAAGATGGTTAGATCACCAAACCCTATCTGATTCTCTCCCTCTCTCTAGTATTTATGTTGTCTTTCACTGCTGATTTTTGTTCATTTTATCTAATTCACAAGCAAATTGATTCAAAAGTTGCATTGTTGAATCATGCCGAAATACGAGCCTTACAAATGTTAGTGTCTTATTTGGCCATTGTAACTGTTTTCACCACCGATTTCATGTTTCTTCCAGCCACCATAGCTGGCCATTGAGTTGGAAATTCTGTTGGGAATTTGTATCAGTATCAAGTTGAAAAGGCCATGGCTCATCACGAAGTGAAGATAGCTTTGAAGTTACAAAAGTTTGATATGAATATTGCTTTTACTTTTATCAATTCACAATTTTTGAAT